CTGGGGGGCAGCAATCGCTGCTCAGGAACTGGCTGGGTATCACTCGGCGGGTGGTGAGCAATTGCACCGTGCATCACTTGCTTTGTATATTATTATTATATTGTTGTTATTACTATTTTACTTTATTTCAATTACTAAACTGTTCTTATCTCAACCCATGAGTGTTTCTCACTCCTCCGATTCTGTCCCCCATCGCACCGGGGCAGGGGGAGTGAGCGAGCCGCTGAATGGTGCTGAGTTGCTGGCTGGGGCTAAACCACAACATGAGTCTAAGTCAAGCCCCACTCAGCTGATGGGAGACTGTAACCATTAAACCCAGAGATCCTGCAGTCCACAGCTCTTCATTAAATCATTTTCTTCTCTCTTTCAATTCTCTGTGGCTCCCAGACATTTTATACCGTTTGCTTTCAGAAAAGATCTTTAAGGATCTTCAAATGCTGTGACTCCCTGAACACTTTAGCGAGAAGGCAGCACCCATTAGACTGTTTTCTTTTGTGCAAGCACCAGTAATTACAGCAGCATCTGCTGAACTTTTGCCACCATTCACACTGTAAATGCTATTTTAAGGAGTTTCTCCAGCCTGGCCAGTCTGCACAGGGTTATGCTGGGGCCCAGAACACGTCAGTACTTGTTTTGCGTACCCACAGTAGCCCAAACCTTGCAGCACATGTGGCTTGGACAAATGTGTGGGCAAATATAACGTATGTGTTTCCAGCACCCAATACAGCAGGAGTCCCAGGTATCCTGACAGAGCGGATGTGGCACAGACATTGCTCCAGAATTTCAGGAGATCCTTTAAGGCAGGCTTCCCCAGCCTGGGCTCAAACACAACCAGGAGCCAGCCTTAGGACCTAGCTGGTTTCTGAGATGGAGAGGACCTGTTCCTCCCACTGCTCAAGCGGAGGATGCCAGGGAGGAAGGCTGGGGGCTTGCAATGCCTCACACTGAGTGAATACACCAGAAACCAGTGAGAAGGGGGGCGAAACATTCATGAAGAGATGATGTACCAGCCCCTCCACCAAAGCCACTACAAACTGGGAGGCAAGCCCTGCTCCCTGAAACACAGTCCCCATCTTCTAGGCTGTTCCCTCAAGAGCAGCCCCACTCCTCACTGCGAACGACTGGCAAGGGGTAAGCTGAGAGCAGAGGAAGGATGTCCATGAAGAGCAATTGAGGATCGAGCTGTGATGCTGGAGACCTGCAGAGGGGTGCACCAAGGGGCAGGACAGATTTTTATCAGTGCTACTGGTTGTTCACCCATTTCCATGCCCTGGCATCTGCTGCCGCATTCCCAAGGATTCACAACCACTTCTTCTGCCCGCCTGAACCGTGCGCCTGGTGCCGCTGACTGAAAGCAACAGCTCTGCTCCACGCCCTGCCCACGGGCAGGGGACCGACACTCAGCAGCCAGGCAGGCATTCTCAGCAGACGCACAGCCAGAGAACGAGCAGACCTCGCTCAACACGTTAAACCTCAAAGCACTGGGGTTTTTAAGTCTGAAGTGTGCTAAGTGCACTGAAAACTGCTCCTTTGTAAGCTGGCATCAGGGAGCTCTGTATTTATCATGGCTGATGAGGGGAAAAGATGGGCTGCGCTCATTGCCAGCCCTGACTGCCTGTCTTGGATTGGGAAATCCAGTCTGGCTCATGCATCAGTACCAGTAATAAAGATGCTGCCAGCCAAATCTCTCCTCCCTTTACGTCTGTGCAGGTCCCCCGTGCCAGGCCTGTCCTGACGGAATTCGAGCGAGTTTCTTCCTTGCAGCCAGAACCCAACTGTAATTTTTACTCTAAACAGCACTGCTCTCCTCAACATGCATCCCATCCACCTCTTGTGATTGCACCCAGCCAGCAGACCTGACAGATCAATATTATGACAGTACACTAAAAAGAAAAAAGTCTCAACTTAGCTGCTGGTGTGCTCTAGGGCAAAACAGCCAGATTGAAAGTATCAACACCTACCCCTGCTGCTGCCCTTAAAGGTCTTGCAAATTCAGGAAATACAGGGGCAGGTTTCCTTGCAAACTACTTTTATTAACCATAGCACATGCAGACACTACCAGTAACTCCTGAGCAGAGGGAAACAGGTTACAGCGTAGTGGCAGAGGCGTTCAGACTGGTAACAGCTCACAAGACTGGTTTACTGAGTATTAAAGTACTTGTAAGAATGGGAGGGGAAAAAAAAAAAACCCAAAAAACAAGAAGCAAGCTGAAATGGCCATTGTGAGAACACATCTCGGAGGAAGGCTGCCAAGGACTCTGACAGCTCTGAGCTCCTCACAGACCCCGAGCACAGGAGCTGTTGGGTTGAAGGTGTGAGCAGAGAGAAGAGACCGTCTCGGGAAGGGGCATTTGTCACCACTGATGGTGACAGAACCTGGAACAGCTGATTTTGGTAACAAACTAGAAGTTGCATTCAATTTACCTAGCAGAAATTGTGCTAAGGCTAGAGAAGAAACACAGAGTGAGTGTGAAGAGGAAGGCAGAGGAGCGGCTGGTGTTTTGTCGAACACAAGCGCTGTCTCAGCTGGGAAGTGTTGATTCTGAGTTACCTCAGACCCTAAAAAGGGAAAGCCTGAAAATGAGAGACCCAGTATAAATACAGAGGTGTTGATGGCCTGAAGGAGGGGAGACAGGTCACTGTTAAGCAGCTATGCATGGAAAGCACACAAAAAACAGCAACAGCTTTTATTACAGTCTGATGATAGAAACATATAAGATAAAGATCTCGTACTGACAAGGCTGAAGACCCTGATATTGAAAACATAATTGATGCTGTTCAGAAAAAGCAGAAACCTGTGTTCCCCTCCAATGCAACTGCATGGGGCTGGCTGTAAAACGACCCCTCTAACGTGAAGGCTGAGCACGCTGGAATGAATCCAACCAGCCAAAGCATCCAGCTACCTACCACCACAGATGCTCATTTCCCCCATCAGATCACAAAGAGACACTCCTAGCTCAAAGGATATCTCATTTGTGGGCTGCTGTAGTGTAAAAGTCAGGTGTTAACGCCCCACAGCACTGCCTCTTGGCAGACACCAGCTTCCGGGTGGGCCAGGGTATGTGTGTTTATTCATTCCTAGTGTGCCTTTGACTAGAGGCTGAGATATAGATCAGTTGTTTGCCACATGGAACAAATGCATGCCCAAAACACCTGCTGAAATCTGCTCTAGCACTTGTTCCAAGCATCACTGGTGAAGCCAGTTGGTTACCCTGTGCTTTAACCCCTCCATCAGCACCAAGGGGCAGCAGCAGGGTTCCGCTGCCCCAGAAGGGGACGCAGGGCTGGGTTAAAGTCTGGGTTGTCTTCAGGGGCATGGGTGACTCAGAGCTGTCAAGACAGTCCTGGCTACAAAGAACTACAAAGACAGGAAGAACAGATGAAGAGCTTGAAAACCAAGAGAGCTCAGAGAGGGGAAACAACTTCCCAGGGTAGCAGCAGCTGCAGGGCAGGTGCGTCAGCACTGCCGCGCTCTATCCAACCGCCCGTTCAAACATAGCCAACAGAGCAGCACCATGCAAGCCACTGCCCTGCTCCACCAGGTCAATTCGGAGCCAGTGCTGAAGCATCTCCATGGCCAGCTCCAAAAGTCTGTCTCGCACTGCTGTGAAGGGACAAAGCAGAATGAGGAGGGTAGGGATCAGGCCCAGCATGCAGCACTTTTTGGGTAGTCTTTCTTTGGTGCACACACAGCTTAAAGTGACCATATCTGAGAAACCAGACACAGCATTAACCAAAATGGTTTTCCGTATCGATGCCAGAGCCCAGCTCTATCCACCTTCAGCCTGACTTTTACGCAGTCTAACAGAGACAGAGGTGCAACACCAGCCCAGAGAGCTTCCAGCACAGCTCAACCAAAGCCAGCAGTCAAGGTGAATCTGGACTTTCAAAAGTCAAAACTTTACTAGAGTCTTCCTACTTGACATCTACATGGTCTCTCCAAGGTCTCTCCCAGACAAATACACCATGCTGAGCAAATAGTCTGCTCCATGTCCTTGCCTGACTTGTTTTAAAGTGCTGGATGAAGCAGTCTGTTTAAAACTGCATCACAGGCACCAAACGTTCATGTGATTCTCAGCTTTGCACGAATGGTTAGCAGCAACGTCAGAGAGCAAACAGAGGCTTCAGAGAAATAAGGTCACACTAGCAACCATTAATTCACACCTAGTAGGCTTCTGTGAGCAGTGTGCAGCAGGCAGCCCACCTGGGACACGGTTCTCCTCCAAGCAGCACCTTCATTAAACAGCCATCATCAGGGTCCTGGCTCTTGGTTCAACGGGAAGATTAGCTCTTGCTAGATGTCAGCGGTGGTGCAAGAAGATCTGGCGGTGAATGTTTAGATGCAAGCTCATAGACAGACACATTCAATGCCATTGCAGGAAGCATGGTAAAAAAATGCTACGTCAAGTGCTGGTGGTTTGATGGTGTGTTTTTGAGGGGGGATTGTTGTTGGTTTTTGTTTGGTGGGTTTTTTTGTTTGTTTTTTTTTTCATTTGGTTTCTCCCCCCACACACACAGGTAGCTTTTCTGGTGAAAACGCAGTTTAAAATGTCTACGCATTCAGCTATTGTTTGGACCTATTAAGCACGCTGTTCCAAATCTCGTCTCTGGCAAGCATCCCAATTAAGCAGGCATCCCGTTGATCAGCTTTCTGATCACATGGGATTTGTTCTGCTGCTGCATCTGATATAATACTTTCTGCTTTGAAGAATTTCATGTGTAGCCAGAAGGAGGCCCCACCCTTCTCATTTAGAGAGAAAAAAATTTCTCAAAGCCTGCTTCCACTGGCAGCATCTTCAGGAAATCAAAGGCAGGTGAAAGAGCAATCTCTTGTTTGTCCTGAAATTGGTGTGGAGCAAGTTGGGCAGCAGAAATTAGACCAAGAGCTCGTTTACTCTGAGCAAAGTGTGGGAAAGCAGGAAGGGAGCAGTCATTGCGGAACAAATTTTTATTTTTCTTCTTTGCCCATGTCTCTCTCATGGCATAATTTAGAAACCAGGGACCTTTCTCATCAGATAAGGTTACCTCTGAAATGAGAGCACTAACCAGACAAACCAACAGATTCAGTCTCAGAGGCAATTTAAACGGCAGGAATGAAATTGCAGGAGTGAACTGGACCTGCAAGATTGCAAAATGGGAAGATGGGAACTTTCCAAAGAGGAAATCCCAAAGATGTTTTGAATAGCCAGCGCATCCACTGTGAATTCCCCACAAAGGAAAACCCCAAACAGGAAAGGTTTGCTTTCATACAGTGCTAGGAAACCAGTGCTGCCATTTTGTGGGAATTCAGGATTTCCTTCTCATGCGCACGTACTTTCATGAAAAGTGAACTCCACAAAAAGAGGTGCAAAGATTACAGCAGCTTAGAGCTTAAGGTGCAGAGCAACTGAAGACTTTTTCTGTGGCCCATTTTCTCTTTTGCCTTACTTTTCCATCTTCAAAATAGAAAGAATAAACAGCATTTCCCTAGCTTACAAGGCAGGGTGAAGATAAAGCTGCTAACACACACGCAGGATGACCAGAGTGAGGGTGAACATGGAAGAGCCTTCACAAGACAGAAGGAACATGCCAGTCTGGGGAAATGCCACCGGTATGGTGGAAGAGCACCATCATGGAGGGACACTGGCCAGCTTTCCCTCCTGAAACACAGCATCATTGCAAGCTCTTACACCAAACAGCATCCAGCAAGGAAGAACCCTCCACCGGTCTCTTGTGAAGATAAACCAGAAACACTCCAGCTTGTCAAAGCCAGGGTGACAACTGCTGAGTCTGAAGCCTCATTTGGGCAGAGAAGCCAGGCACTGTAGGGGGGACACCAAGAGGCCAAGTGCAGGTTGGTTCACAGACTCGCACATCTTCAGGCTAGAAGAGCCCGCCCTAGGGATCCAGCCAGACCTCCGGTGTGGCACAGCACAGGGAACCTCACCCACCAACTGCACATCAAGTGCACGTTGCCCCAGGAAAGACATTCAGCCCCAACTTTAACTGGAGAATTCCTAATTAGGCTCTGTTAAAAATGTGCAGCTTGCTTATGCTTTCAGCACTGAAGAGCTGCTTCAAGATCTCTGACATTTCTTAAAATATACATAGCGACAGACTCAAACTCAGCTGACAAATGTCACCCTATCCCAGATACACCAGCCAGCAAGACACAAGCCACCCTCTCCCTGGTGTAACAGGGTTCTGCAGCCTGAAAACTTGTTTTAACCGATGGGCTACAGCAGGGACAGGCAGTGAAGGCTTCTCTGAACTACAGCTCTCCAAACACCCATCTCTCACAGGGTTCCCTCCCTACCTGAAGAGAAGCAAATCCTTCCTGCTGTTAGTATAAACCAGCATTACCGTAAAAAACAAGTGACAGAGCTGTGACATTAGCACAACTCTCTGCTGGGACAACTGCACTGAAATGGGTCTCACTCCCAGACATAAAAATGTATTAAGGTCTGGGTAGGATTTGTCTTCCCCAATTTTAGCCCACCAGTACAACACATCTAGAACAAAGGAGTCAACTGGCCTCTTGCCGCAGCATGGAAGAACGCCAGCATCCTCACCCCAGTGTAAAACAGCTATCCAAAACAGAATCCGTTGGAATTGAGCCACTCGGGACTTTTGGGATGTACACGAATTAACTGGTCAAATATCCACCTGCTGGCAAGACCCTTCCACTTGGTGCCCTGAATCTCACAGCTCCTTAGTCATGAGAGGAAAGGGGAGCCACAGCTTGCAAGAAGATGCAGAGGTAGCATCAGACATCCCTCTGGAAGATGCTGCCCAACTCCGTGCAGCATAAACAACCACCTGAGCAAAAGCACAGGGCTGGGGCCTCCGTGAGCAAACAGGAAAGAAACGTGGAGCAGCATGAACCCGATTCATTGCTGTAACTTACAATTGGCTGTAGCTGCGTGCCTGGTAGCATGAACTGCATTTGCTGAGCAAACATGGCTGCAGCTGTCTTCTGCTGGATCAGGTTGTTGCGTCCATTTATTTCGAGCTGTGTTTTTAAGTGTGGGGGAGGGTGGAGATATTTGCAGTTCTCTCGGGTACACCGGCCCTAAAAAACATAATGAAACAGCATTTCAGTGAATATAATGCTCAGGGCAGCCAGAGAAATTTAATTAAGGATTGTTTGGGTTAGTGTAACAACACAATCATCTAGGCAGAAGCAGTTTGGTAGCTACTGTGCCTCTTTTGTGATTTTTCTATACAAGTGCAATACTTAGGTGAAGAGAAGAGCAACATGACTTCTCCTGCCGTAACACTAACTGAATACTATCAAGCTAAACCCAAAAGTCAGGCTTCCTGATGTTAAAATGATTGCTGTAAAAAAAAAACCAAAACCACCAAACCAAAAAACAAACCCTCACACAAATAGCAGTATTTTCAGAACTTAGTAGCAACAGCTCCAGAAACAACAACAAAAATTCCCCATTTTCTTGTGTGGGTTGTTTTTCCCCTCCCTCCCAACACCAGACCACTTAACTGGCCCTGACAACGAGACAGCAAGAAACAAAACTGTCTCCACCACTTCCCCAGCTGCACCAAGTAAAACATCAAGAAGACAGCTCTGTAAAGCAGCACCTCTGATCTTCAACATGCATGTACCGAGATGCTGAGAACTGGTAGTCACAGGAGGGAGAACTGAAACAATTTCCCCTTCGTGCTTTCATTTGTCAAAAGCCACAGTATGTTGCATCACTGACTACTTCCCCCCCTCCCCTGCCCCAAATAAACATAAGCACTAGGGAAGCCAGTGGCTCCTAAAAAGCAAAGGATCACTAATGTTACAGATCACCTCAAATCAACTGAGACCATCACTTTTAAAAAAACATCTATAAACTGTGCCTTGCTTTAATAGTGTTTGCAAGTAGACATAGGAAGATAAATACCAAGTCCACTGAACACAGAAAACTACTAACAGATTTTGTCATTAAGATGAAATAATTCTTGAAGAATAGGATTTTCTCCCCCCTCTTTCTCTGTGTATTCCCTCCTCAAGAACGAGAGGCATACAGAATATAAGAAACATCTCATGCAACTTCATGCATAAATTTTATAAATAACTTACGGTGAATTTTTTTTGAGGAAGTAATTCTTCTGTAGCTATTCAGAGCCTAGTAAAACAAGACCAGGCCTGGGGACCATAGAGCTGTTGCATGACAGATAACTAGTAATTGTTCCTGCAGCCAGCAAAGGAGCAGGACCATCCATTACCCAGCCTGTCCCTGACACTCTCGTCAAGGGCTGGACACTGAGTTCTTAGTCTCAATATAATTAAGTTTGCTTTCAATAAAGGGGCACATCAGGTGACCCCACATACCTGCTCCTGTTGGCAGGATCACATGCAGCGGAGCCGTAACGCCATAACCAGGTCCACACGAGTACACCCATTACACACCACTGCACCCAGGGCACAGACTGGTGGAAACCCCCTGGGATGGGCCCCTGCCTGCACCCAGGATGCTCCCCTGGGGATTTTTAAGACCTGTCTCTGCCTGTACAAATGTACGGGTGGAATCACTGGACAATCTGGGTACCACTGCACAAAGCTGACACTGTGACCCACTGCAGGGGCTGCTTTTGAACCCCCAGCCAGGCTCCTCAGCATGCCGAGAGAGGGGCAGGTCACTGGAGAGCAGCTGAAGATCTGCAAGCTTTACATGTGCTTTCCTTGGCCCCCTTTCCTGGTGAGGATAACAGCTTCACTGGGGACAGGGCTGCAGAGCCCATCTGCAGCGTGAAAGGGGCTGTACAATGAAGCATCATGAGAAACAGGCTCCTCTCTTATCTGCTCCAAGGAGATTAGAGAGTTAAACAAACTCCTGGCTCCCTGTTGTTATTTAGAGGCAAATAATTAAATGCAAGAAGTGATGGGCCCTTGAGACAGGAAAAAACACTCCCAAACTTCAGCAGCCTGCCTTTGCTGAGTGAAACTCTTTGCCCTGCTCCTAGAGGAGCCCAGTGGCTCCCAACAACCCAACTCAAAAAGAAAGAGGCTTTTTAATGCTATTGTTTTGGCTTCTCAGCAATGCAACAGCCCCAGATCCCCAGCAGCGAGTTAATTGCTCACAGGCCCAGAGGACATGAATCTTCATCACCACTTTCTTACATCTGTGTAAAGTGAGGGTAAAATGGCACCATGCAGCTGGCTGGTGCTCAGACAGCCCAGAACTACTACAAGGCAAACAACTGCATTAATCTGGAAGGAAAAGGAGCCTCATCAGCACTAGGTAGGTTTGGGTCATCCTTCTCATGGCATCTTTCCAGCGGCATGGGACCAGGTGGAGATGCAGCTGCAGAGCGAAGGCTGTGAAGTGCACAGCCTTTCCCATCACCTGGGAGCCTACAAGAGCCCAGCATTCAGGCTCAGAGCATATCTGCAGTGTCCCACCTCCCCCACCTCTGCGGGGCTGCTCAGGTTGCTGCAGACCAGGAGCAGACCCCACAGAGCAGCAGGTTGTTGATGGCCAGGCAGCTGCTCTCTTCTAAGCTCCAGCCTTCGAGGGCTTACACATCAGCCCTAGAAATTCTTCCTGGTTGAAACTTGGCACAAGTGCTTTGGGCTGGGAAAACACTAATTTCTACCAAATTTGGAATAAATCTGTGTAGATGTTTCTACACTGCAGGAATGGAGAAGATGAAAAAAAGAGCTACTATTTTTTGTAAACAATACTTACGGGGCCTTCTTCAAGTTGAAAAGGACTTTGCTATTCCAGCTGAAATTTTGCATGTCATTGATACCAGCCACCCCAGCTTGGTGTGAAGCTTTGTTCTACTTTTTTCTCAAAACAGAGTTTGTTTAATTCCAACAGGGGGTTCTACGAGCAGAACGTTTTTCTTACCAACACCACCCCCCCTCCCCACACAGCATGAGGCCTTGATCCTGTAGACAGAGCTGTGAGCAGAAACCAGCACCCACACAGAGTGCTACTGGTTTCAATGAGGACATGCATTTGCAAGGAACTGAGAGCTGTGGAGATGCAGCTGCAGAGCGAAGGCTGTGAAGTGCAGCACATCTGTCAGTCAGGCCTTCTAGAGCTCCAGGAAGACTACATGAATCACCGCTGCACTCTGATTCAAATCCACACCTTCAGTCTAGCTCCTCCTCGCCATCATTTTGATCCTGAGCATCATCAGCCACTGTGTTTCACCAGGACGGGTTAGAAGCTACAGCTGAGTCGGGTTGCTCCCTCCAACACCACAGTAGGTTCTTCATCTCTCGGACAATGAATTTTAGGAACGGATGACGTGACAGAGTGACACAAAATGTTCCCAGTTTAGACATCCAGCTATGAAACAACTTTCAAGACGTCTCGCTCTAATGTGACAGGTACCTCTAGTATCCTCTGAACTCCAACACTACTAGGGGTGATCCCATCTACATTTCCATCACAACACCTACAGTTCTCAGTACTTCTCAGCAACACATACACTCTTCAAGACTAATTTCAGCTCTACGAAAGCTGCCAGAAGGACAAAGGAACTGCCATTAACTTCTCAGTACCAGCTGCAACACAACAGGGAACTGGTAGCAAATCTGTGTGGATACTGGGCTGGGGACAAAGAAGGACAACTCCATTTTATACCTGCGTGGCCTAGGAATACAGTATGAGAAAATACAACAGGAGTCAGGCCCCTAAGTTTCAGATGAGCATCTTTATGCTAAAAGGTGCAGTTTTGCTTCAGTGACTAGCTGTGGCTCTGCCACATCGAATGCTCAGTGCAGGGCACAGGACAGTCCCAGTGCCCTGCACGGAGACCTGCTGAGACATTCTCCAAGCTGAGTGTTGCACCAGAAAGCACCATCCTAGCACCTGGAGTGGGTTGCTGCGTATGTTGGGAAGGGGCATGGTGCTCAGAGACTGACCTGTGTAAGCAGGCAGCATGCTGAGCCTGCTGGGACCAGCGCAGCCATCCTGTTGTAACTGGAAGAGTTTATTTCTGTTAATTTAGCATATTGACTCCAGGGAGGGCACATTCCCACCCTGTCTTGGGTGGCACGTGAGCCTGCAGCCAGGGAATCACCACCCAGCAACAGACTCTGCTGCTGGCCTTGGTAACATGCTAAATATAGCAGTATTTTCTGGCTCCTGGCAAAATGGAAGGAGTGCGAAGGACCACATTAGTCAGCTTCTTTGCCAACTACAGCCAGGAGGGAAAAGCATATGGACTGCACTTCCCAAGGCTGGAAAAATGGATATTAAAAACAAATCATTAAAAGATTTTATAAGAGTATCTTCTCCCCCCTTCTTCCCACACGCTCCCCCACCCTTACAGTAGGCTGCTGGCATGTGATTGACTCTGTGTTGCCAACTTAAGTCATGCTGTGATGGCGCATACTGTAAATGGCTGGCATCTGACACTAGCTAACACGACAGCAGCTTGCAGTGCAACAAAGCCAGCTGTTTGGAGTGCAGCACTGATGGCAGCACACTTAAATCCAGTTGAAAAACCTGCATTACACCTGGCTGTTTGGAGTCTGCTGGGCTGCGCGTTATCATCTGCATCCTAGCTCGGAGGGATGCAAATAAGAGCACTCTGGGTACTACACCAGGCTGGATGAACCTCCCTTAAGCATGCTGCACAAATTCTCTTCTCACTGGCTGTTGAAGTGAGCTGAACCACAGTGCTGCAGAAACAAGGCTTGCAGCACAAACCCAAGGCTTGCTCACATTTGCACCAGTAATGCAGTTTGTTACGGTCTCTTTAATCCTGGATGCCAGTGAGGGGTTCCAGAGCAGACACATGTTTCTGGTTTTAATGACTGCACTGTATGTGCCATCAATCACCAGCAGTTCTCATGTGAAAATCTTTAAGCTAATGTGGCTTTTCACACACAGGAGGCTGCAGTAGGCTTGTGCCCTGACTGTGTTGTCTTTTCCACAGACACTGATGATATGTGCAATGACTGACAGCAAGAAGAATGAAAAGAGACCAGGCAGGAAAGGATTTCCGTGTTTTGCACAAAACCAGGCACCAAAACACAGCTTGTATGCATAACTTTTCCCTGCATGAAGCAGCAGATTTCCACCCCCCCCCAAGAACAACTCAGTG